GAAATGGAAATATTTCAGAGTGCGTAGGCGATCGCAAGTATTAGCTCACTGCGATATTTATTACTTATTATAATCGTGAAAAATCCAGCCACTATTCAGATTTCATTTCTTCGCCGTTTCACGCCGGATTTCTCGCGTTGAAGTACAAACTTGCACGAAAAATCTCTAGTTTGCCGCTTGAAATATTGATATTACACTTTACACTCGCTTCGAATTCTTTGGAAAAAGTTGCATACACAGTTCATGTATAAATAGGAAAACTTAATGAAACTACCGACACGTCTTTCGACTTCTTTTTCAATTTTTATTTGCTTGCCGCGCGTCCCGTCTGTCCCACCTATTTCCAGAACGTTCCACAACTTTTTCAATTCTCCCACTGGTTACACTCGCTTTCTCATTCTGCGAATTTCTTCCATCCTGTCGCTTATTTTTGTTTCCTTCTCGGCGAGAATCGTGGCGTCACGTCGCTGGAAATTTTGTTTATTAATGGCCCCTAATTCTTCTCTCTTTTCTCCAAGTTGCCCCAATATTTCAATTTCCTCCGAGCCGCCGGTTTCGCGCATTCCCGATGTAATATCTCGCTATTTGTCTGGATTCTCTCCGGAACCTCGCGCTATTGCCAATTTTGCATTTCACTCGTACCTCGTCGTACTCCCTCTCTCTCTCATGTTCGTTCGATTTATTACACAGTAATAACAATTTTAATCGACGATAGATCTGAAGTTTCATTCGCCTCGTCAAATCTCACCGCTGTGGCAATATTTGCCCGCGGAATTGGAACGGAGAAATTTTTCAAATTTCGACGCGTAAAATTTCCAAACATCTTGCAAATTTCACTGGCAGCTGATTCGCGGATACAATTAACACTCACGTGGGAAGGAACACGATAATGAAGGATTAGTTTTTGCTGGAACGGCGACACGAGGTTTGGTTTTAAAAATACTGGTTGCTTTCCTCGCTCAGACCCGCTCTAATTGGAATGCACATAAACTTTCTCAACGCGGTCGCGCGCGAATGATGTTCACCGCGAAAACAGATGTTCCGAGAGAGCACTTTTTCACCAACTTTTGATGGAGCGATGATATTTCTCTTGGAAAGAAAAAAAAAATCTTTTCAACACTTTTGTATCAGAGCACCGAAAGTTATTCAGTGAAAATTCGCTTTCAAAGAGAAACAGCTTGAATGGAGTGAAATTTCCGCTTGAGCACGCGCGATTAACATAAGTTGTGCGAGATTTCGACTGAATTCCATGAGAAAATATTGAAAATCCGTAAAAAAAAAAAAAAAAAAAAACAACGAATTATAGATATAGAGACGAAAAAATATTAAGAAGCCCAAAATCATCACTTCTTCCGCGAATTTTCAAGATCCTCGAGATACCAGCCATGCTCAAAAAAA